CAAGCACCGGTGCTTATTTCTACAGGAGAGACGCGTCTCTCCTGTAGAAATAAGCACCGATGCTTAAGAAAAACCTGATTTATTTCTCGTCTCTCCTGTAGAAATAAGCACCGGTGCTTAAGAAAAACCTGATTTATTTCTCTAAGCACCTCCCTTAAGCACCTCCCATTGTACAAGGCCTAAGAGAGCAATCGCGTCCTCAGGTCGGTGTACGTCCTATCGAACTCGAACTCGATCTGTTACTGTTCACGGAAACGAAACGAATGTTATTTCGGTTGGTGCACTACGCAACAAGCATCCAGTGCAATGCATGCCTGCATTGGGCGGGCCGGGGCCGGCCGACCGATGCTTGCCGGATTGTGCCGTGCGGTGTGGAGTAGCCTCGGGGCCTCGTGGGTGGCGCGCGACTCCGAGGATAGAGGGACAACTCGCTCCTAGTTACTTTGGCACCTGGGGCATGGTGGACGTGACGAGAGAATATTAGCAGCAACCTGGTGGATAGCGTGCGTGGTTCGGGGAAGACGGAGCCATAGCAGTTCCTCCGGCTGGAATTTACTTTCGTTTCAACTAAAGGCAAAACAAACGAATGGAATATTCGCACTCTCATCCTCTTTTTGCAGCTATTCTCGGCGAATCCTTTCTTTCTTTTTGCCGTGGCAGCGTAGGTAGGAGGACCGACTGGGAGAGGGTGGAGTGGAGTGGACCAGGTACATATATATTGCCCAGAAAAGACGGCGATCCTGGCGACCGACGACGGCACACCGCACACGGCGGGGCAGCTAAACACGCCGTCCGCCTGTCTCGTAGTAGACGACGACGCCGCGCCTTGGTTTGGTTCCAGCCCATCTGATGAACTCGCCGTCAGTGACGTTGCAGCGAATGGACGAAACAGCGGTACGCACTGCGCCCACCAGCTAGCTCCTCTCGTTTCCCCCTTTAGAATAGGACACGCCACGTCACACGGATGCGGCTTCTGGACCGAACACTGACCATCGTCTTACTCGCACAACCCTGCACTGCACTGCACGGAAACAAAAAAAAAGTTCTGCTAATTCTCGGGCTATTTTACAGATTTGTTTATTTATACACATCTAGTACGAATTATTCGGCGTGTCATAAAAGATTTGTTCCTCTAGTCGACAAATTGTATCATTTGTTTTTTTGAAAGAAGTATCATTTGTTTTCAGAGCTACTCCAACGGTTCGCGGTAGTAGTAGGAAAATAAATAAATGTTGCATGAGTCAGATCAACTCTTCACGGTTGTCGACCAAGGCCAACTCCAACGGTGACCGCATTTGGTCTGATCCAGTCAGTTGGGTCGAAATGGAGGAAATCCATGGTCCAACACGTGTTCGCAAATGTAAATACTGTCCAGCTCGACCCAAATTCGACCAGTCCACTTCCAAAGTTCCCACTTCCATCCACCGCTGCCTCCTGGAACCCCGACACTCAAACCCTAGCTCCGGCCACCTCCTCGCCATGGGAATGTGGAAGTGGATCCCCGTCAAGAAGGGGAAGCACGACCACGAGGAGGCTTCCTTGTCTGCGTCGTCCGCCGCCCACTCCACCTCGTCGCTCGCCTTCTCCATCTCCCCGCCAAGGAGCTGGTGAGGAGGTGCTCAAGGACTCCGTGCGGGAGCACGACCGCGTCCAGTGGCAGGGCCTCAACGTGACGACGACCATGTCGACCATTGACGACATCGCCATCCTCGAACTGGAGGTGAAGGGAGTGTTCGAGGAAGAGCCCCCCATTGTGGACTCGAACCCGACCTTGGTTGGGCAGCGGTGGTCATGGACAACCGGGGTGCCATGCAGCCCACCATCGCCGTTGCCCTCGTGGGCGGGCGCCGAGTTATGGTCCCCGGCCTCGCCACATCCACAGCAGGCACCACCCACCCCGGTTTGGCCGCCACTAGAAGCGCCGCCTGAGGGAGTCCTGGATTAGGGGGTATCCGGACAGCCGGACTATATACATCGTCCGGACTATTGAAGCGTGAAAATACAAGACTCAAGACTTCGGCCCGTGTCCGGATGAGACTCTCCTTTGCGTGGAAGACAAGCTTGGCGATCCGGATATTATATTTCCTTCCTTGTAACCGACTTCATGTAAACCCTAGCCCCTTTCAGTGTCTATATAAACCGGAGAGGATGGTCCTTAGAAGGCCGATCACAATTACAATCATACCATCATAGGCTAGCTTCTAGGGTTTAGCCTCTACGATCTCGTGGTAGATCTACTCTTGTACTACTCATATCTTCAATATTAATCAAGCAGGAAATAGGGTTTTACCTCCATCGAGAGGGCCCGAACCTGGGTAAACATTGTGTCCCTTGCTTCCTGTTACCATCAGCCTAAGACGCACAGATCGGGACCCCCTACCCGAGATCCGCCGGTTTTAACACCGACATTGGTGCTTTCATTGAGAGTTCCTCTATGTCATCGCTTTGAGGCTCGATGGCGTCTTCAATCGCCAACAACACCGTCCAGGGCGAGACTTTTCTCCCCGGACAGATCTTTGTGTTCAGCGGCTTCGCACTGCGGGCCAATTCGCTTGGTCGTCTGGAGAAGATCGACAACTACGCCCCTCGCCACCAGATCAGGTTCGGAAACTTGAACTACACGCCGGACATTCGCGGAGACTTGATCTTCGACGGATTCGGGCCTGTGCCAGGAGCGCCGGACAGTCATGATGAGCACGGCCTAGACCTGTTGTCGGACAATGCTCGGGACATCATCCCTGCAGTTGCCCCGGATCTAAATCCGGAACAGGTTGCGTTGCCCAAGGACGGAGGGGTGGATCCCGCCCCGCAGGCCGCATACTCATCGGCGGTGGAGCCGAACACAGGTCTCACCTCTGTGGAGGCCTGTAACCCCGGGCCCCCGGACTCGTATCCGGTTGTTGGTTCCGGTCCGCACACCCTCGAGCCAGCCAATCCAGGTTGGGCTCCGGTAATGGAGTTTACCGTTGCGGACATCTTTCAGCACT